CTGTCAACATATACATATATATATATATATATATATATATAAGGAAATAACTTCAAAGAAGCGAAGGAAATAGCGACACCACTGCAGCCCCTTATCTGTCCAGTATAGGAAAAAGTAATATCTTGCAATAAATCAGTGCAACAAACAACATACAGTATGAAATAACTATGATAGTCAGTGCACCGCCATTAAACTCCTGAAATGAAAATAAGGGGACACATGATACTGATTAAAGAGACGTAGAATATCAGATAAACCGTTCTGACCTTACCTTTCAATAATTCATTTCTGACTTATGGCATGCCAACTACAATGCCAAAAAAAAAAGTAATGCATAAGAAAAGGCAATAGAATAGACCCTTACAATGGTATGTGATCGAAACTTAAAGCCCTTTGGCTCACTTATATAGCATAACCGAAGGATACGGAAAACATTGCTTTCCAATAGTACTTACGACAAAGTACTGAAAAATGATCAAACGAAAAGAGAAATAGACTAGTGCATATGAAGCATAACAACGATACCATGAGGAAAGAATCAGGTCGCTAGCATCGTATGCCAGGGCCTTGCCTCAGATTCGCTAAGGAAACCAAGCTAGGAAACGGAGATAACACCAAGGCAATAATAGTAGATTGCTCAGAAAAATATAAGTAGGAATGGGTTCAACGCAAAAAAGAAGTCTATTGATCTAGCAAAAAGATTTACACACAAACCAAAGTGCACAGAAAAAAAAGAAACATCTGTGACATCCCATGCCAGGGGATCTCTAAAAAAGCTCAAAACGATTGCAATAAGTAAAGTATCAATGCACGGAGCTAATCAAAAATTTTACACATAGGTAACGCTATTTAAAGGCCTCATAAGTTGGTAGTAAGTAAACACTAAAGGACATATGTGTCGTAGAAGCTCTTCGATAAATTTCTGCTTTGTTTAAAAAGAAGAAGTGGGAAATTTAAGTTAAATCAAACGACATGAAAGAGTGTCGGTAACACAACCACACTGAATACGAACAGGCTGAAACTGCTAATAAAAATAATGCTGCACTATAGATAAATGGCTATGAAAAGCTCCAGCATAGATCAACGTAGAATAAGCAAAAAAAAATTGGAGTACATTTCAAATTGCAGTTCCGATGTCCTCAATACCTAATAAATACGACAAGAGACCATAAATAACGCATAAATTGGGTATATAAAAGCAATTTGTGATAAAACTGACTGACAACATCTTGCTAAAGCAAAAGCAGCTGATAGAATTCATTTAGGGGGTACCAATATAGTAATCAAGCTTCTCTGAGCCAGCAAATATGCTTTATTAAACTGCTTTAAATAGGGATATATTTAGACGACATTATGGACTGGACTGTATATTCAGCTATTTATGCATATAATTACTAACGAAAATGATGATAGATAATAATAATAATAAAGATATAACTTAACTCAAAAATACAATAAATGTCAACCTTTACGATTCTTTGACAATGAAACTATAAACGTTTATTGCTTGAAAAAAGTTATAAATCAGTTTCAACTATATATTACACGAAAACATATAAGATTATCACATATTGAAAAAAAACGTTGTACTTTTGAAATGATAAAATAAGCAGTGCTACCACAGCTTAATTACACTGCAAGCAAAATTTACAAAAAGCAATAAGCTTCATAAGTTTTAAAAGGGAACGAAACAAGGAAAAAACAAGACAAAGCGACAATTCCAAATATAACGTTAGAAATACAATCAACAGAAATAATTATAAAAAAATCTGGCAACGTGGATTATGTTATTTCTCATAAATTTCTTTTCCTGTTGAGGGAAAGAAAAACCAGTGAGAATCAAGAGTGAAGTTACATGGCACTTGCCTCTCGGTAATACAAAATTCAGAAATGGGTTTGTGATCTCCACCATTAAGTTATTTCCCTTTACTTCGCGATTTGAAGACATTAATACAAGATCGATAAAATGTTGGTAATAAAGTAAGAAAAAGATAGGGGACAATGAAAATCATATTTACGGTGAATATAATTTTTTGAATATATTAACATTTAATTTATTTATTCAACGCTATCTTTTTTCATAATGCATTCCAGTTTACATTTTAAAAGTTAGAAAAAATGATGAGACTCCTTTAAAGAAAAATTAGTCTACATTACCTTTTATGAATTGAATCGCCTGGATTTAAGGGGAACCTTTCGATGACCGAGATTGTCAAGATGTTCAATCGGGATTCCATCACCTTTATACCCATGGTGTTTAAAGTGTAATATATCATGATCAACTTTCCTCTTGATAAATTCCTTAATAGATTCACTACTGCGCTTGTGTGTATCAGCAACTGCAGCTTTGAATAACTTCAAAGCCTTAACCGACTCCGTTTCCGTTATAGTATCCATCAGAGGTGCTATGAAGAATAATAATACTGCGATAAAAAAAATTTGATGGCTAGAGACTTTTGACTCCGTCTCAAGCATTTTCAAAGTAGCATCATCTTCCAAAATAAAACCTCGGAATGCGTTCCTCGAACGTATATCATCGATTGCAAACGCTTGGGCGGATTCGTATGATATACTCGGGATCATAAAATGTAAAAGACTCGATAACAAAAGTACTGCGTCAGTCTCGTCAAAAGTAGCATTGCGTGCTTTCCTCCGTAGCTCGTAACTGAGACTTTGTTGTGAATTTGGATCATGATCGACGTTGGTAGCAAAAAGGACCCATAAACTCTCCAGCGAATCTCGTAAACCTTCATTGCCGTATGACTTAAATGAATCATACCATATAGAACCCAACAAACTGGCTCGATGTTTCCTTTCAGTCCAATATCTTTCTTCCTCCTCACTGGATATTATCAAATTAGTTTCACCACAGCAATATTTTTCTGCTGTTAAGGAAAGCTTTATGAGGACTGTATGAATCCGAGTGCAACACCATTTTTTGATAACAACATCACCAACTGACTCTAAAACATTTAAATCAGTGCCACTACCTCCGTGAGCAGGCATGTTACGTTTGCCCTTTCCCTCTGGAAGTGATTTCGAAGTAGAACAATTGCGCCAAGTGGCCAACAAGTGAAACTGAAATAAGTTTTTCCATTTTTTATCCAATAAAAAACGGAGCCACAAAAATTTACAATTATTTGGCACAAGAATATCACTGGAACATAATGTCGCAAAGCTCTCGATATCCAATTCTTCACTTTTGCCGGGTATGTTCGTTTGTACGACTTGGTGCACACGAACACGCACAGACAGAGACGTTTGTTGACTCCCAACATTTGTCTGAATTCGTTGTACTTCGGAATTTCTAGAAACAAGTGCAGTAGGATCCTCAAAGCAAAGTGGTATAATTACTTCTTTTTTAGTGCGAAACTTTTCACAACTAACAGCAAGCATTCCGTAAAAAAGAACGTGAGACTTGTCTTCCTGCGAAAACTTCATGATCTTTGTCAACACAACAAAATCCTTGAGATTGTCATCAGACACCATAAATTTTAGCTCATCATTGTAGAACGGCGCATTGGAGTTTCGTTGAATGGATGAGCACTGATCGTCAGCTAACTGTGTCTTAAGATCAGAACTAAAAATTGAAGCTACAACTTGAGTAGTACATGGATATGGATCTTCCTCTAGCTGTGGATATCCTCGACCACGTAAAATGTGCAATTCAACCTGCATGGCTAGAGTAAAATATTGTGAAGAAAGCTTCCCTCTTCAGCTACAAGAATGTTTGAAACGATGAGATAACTTATTTATTTTAAATTAAAAATTTCACAATATTCTACCTTCGTATCCAGTGATTTCCTTTTTTTTTGACAGGTAAATACACTGTTATATCAGGATGATTAAAAATAAGAGAACGAATAGCTCAAGAAACAAAACAAGAAAAATGGAAATCATTTCTGACACTTCATTGAAAATAATAAGGGTGAAAATTAAGCCTCGATTTTTAAAAATAAATACATATCCGTCGGAATAGATGAATTTGTGAACAACATATATATCCATCGCACAAAGAAAAATATCTTTCTAAAGGAGAAGGTTTATATATAAAATAAATGATGTAAAGTTTACATAAAATAACTTATTCAAAAAAAAACTTTTTTAGGCTAATATTTTGTATACAATAGAATAATATATATTCATATATATATCATCATTAATTGCATCCTGAGAAAAATCAGATTTATATATCAGAAAAAAATATCTCTTTCTTTATTTAATTTTATTTTTTCCACGAATGAATTTGAAACAGCATCAGTAAAAAAAAAAATGATTCAATAATGTGTATATCAAACGCATAATAAATGAATGCCTGATATGATTAACAAAGAAAAGCTATCTTGAAAATGATATCAAGAATTACTTATAAACACTAATAGCACAATAATGAAGGTGAAATAAATTCGGCTGATGGCAATAATAATAAGAATTCATAATATATATAAATATATTACTATATAAAAAATTGGAATTACAATCAACACGCATACAAAATTAAAATTTCATTGACAATTTAATATGTAACTACCATTACGTACCTTTATTCGAATTTCTAAAAATTACAAGACTCAGACAAGCAACGTTAAAGATCCAGACAAATATACGTGACCAAGATTTTTTTTGTAAAAACTAATAACGAGGAACGTAAAGTTAGAGGGGAAAAAAACTATATTAAAAGCTTCGTGAAAAAAAGCATTAAAGTACTAACCTGGCATACCCTTTTTGAAAAAAACTACAATATTAAAATCCGTTTGTTATCTTCAATAGTGCACCCATCAAAAAAAAACACAACACATCATCCGACAACACTGCGTCCCCAGCAATGCGTCTAGGGAAATCGAATTGCTAGGCCAATTTAAAGGGAAAGCACGTATGGGGGATTGAATTTCTCCCCCGCCGCCACAACCCTGATTTCTGAACCATCATCAAGGTAGAACAGCAACTATCACGAATTCCCTCGGGCGGGGTGTTCCACGAAATAGCAAATGCCGCGGTCTTGCCTGTGGGAAGATGAGGACACCACAACTCCCCATGTCCAAGTGAAATAGCACAGATCATTAAGGAGAAACTACACGTGAAAGCTCGGATGCGGGCCCCCTACTTACACGAATAGTCTGCAAGTGAAAATACGCGGATCTTGGGGTTCCACCCCACACCACCCCCCGCCAACCCGTCCTTCACGCCATGGCGGATGACCCTACCGGTGTGCGGTTGTTTTTGAGCGGCAAAATTGGTGATTTGGAGAGGGATTCGACCCGGGAAATAACGGAAATTATTAGATGGGTGTTCAGTCTGAGTCTAGGTCTATCTCTTTTAAGTATGCATATATATTTAGGGGAAATAAATTCGAATTGCTTTTTGTGAAAGCAAATTTTTTTGTGGCATCGAGTGCTTGTTTCTTTATCACAACGAAAAACTCTAAAAATGAGTGGACCAAGTGCTTGAGGCGAGCGCACACACGCGCGTGCTGGCATTCTTTCCCATGTAAGGAGCATCAATCCTAAGCACCAGGAAAAAATTGTTTGTTAAATGTACTTTCATCAATGCTTAGTAATTTTTCCCCTTCAGGTCGCGGAATCTATGCAAAGTGTTTACGGGAAAAAAAATTTAGCTTTATTTATATTCGGTTTGTGATTCTGGCATCCTTTTTTCTCCAAATACTGCAATTCATAAACAATAAGCTTACGAAAAAGAAAACTCACTCTTCCTTTTCCATGTTAATTAACTCAGATGAAAGCTGTAAACGTTGAATGAAATGAAAACAAAGACTCTCCGTTCTTGACCACCAAAATATATAATTACCCTATCTCAATATTCAATATCTTTTTCTAAAGCATATAAAAGTATTTTATTCGTTTCAAGAAAAAAAAACAAATATCTTCATAATGAGCACCGAGGGCCCAGTTAATGTTCGCGTGAGTGCCAACAAACGGAAGTTTGCCTATGTTGACTTCACTAAGCATCGTCTTCACGAAGGAGTAAACGAGATATTAATTTCAGGTCTTGGATCTGCAATTGCCGATGCTGTATCTGTTACTGAGCTTCTGAAGAACCAGGGTCTTGTGGTGGTAAAGAAGATTCATACTTCCCGTGGTGATGTCGAGGCAGCCAGGTTAAACTATGTTGATAAGATTGAGATCGTTGTTGGCAAGTCACCTGATTTTGATTCTATTTATAAGGAGCAGCAGCAGGCCCGAGAAGCGGCTGCAGCTGCAAGGAAGCAGTAAGCACTTGTGCAGATTTGACTTAAATATCTAATATCTAATTTATTTATATATATATATATATATGTTTTACAAATGTTAAAGACATTCAGAAGGAAGAAAGATATGCAGGAACACGGATATAAAAAGTAAAGATGAAAAATATTGTTCACACTGGCCAAAAAAAAATGACTGAGAACAGAAGAGAATTGTACTGTTTTACGAAGTTCCCAGATTTTTGTAGTAGCATTTAAAAAAATAGAATCAAGTTTTGTCAGTAGCATCTATGCAATAGCTTTTGGTTTTGTGTGTATGCAAATATGTTATTCATCTATGAACTTTGGTATCACATAATAATACTGATTCGTTTTCTACGGCCTTATGATTTTCTAATCATATTTTTATCTTCTTCTACTTTTTCTTTTCGTTTTAGTACTAGTTTAATTCAAAAATATTTAGATTCAATGTAAAAATAGCTGCTTCGATAAACGAATATTATGCTTCTAAAATGCATCTTGCTTTGTGTGCCAGTTTCAGAACGCTTGACTTTTTCCTTCTCCTGTAGGACTAGCAACCAACTCATGAAAACACGTTTGAGGCAGCTCTGAAGAATTGATATTAGCAGTACAAGATTTATGTAGAGTGTCTGTTCAACAATAGTGTCTACTGATCTCAGGATGATGCATGTAGACGGTATTAGAACCTCCAGGTACGTTAAAAAAAATTTATTACTGCATAACTCAAAAGTTCAAAAATACAATTAACAAAACTAGACTTGGCTAGAGACTCATGAAAGAGATCACCGTCTTCACAAAAAAAAAAAATTGTGGTCGGAAACAACAGAATATTTTTTTCCTCTCATAGACTTAAATCAAAGCTACTCGAGACCAAAGTTCTTCTCTCAAAACTTTTCATCTGCTTTTACATCATCTTTCGTTTACATGATAGTGATGTATTTCACTGGCAAAGGATTAGAGACTCAAGTTGCTGACGCGTATCTTAAAGGGAGACTTCAATAATACAAAAGGCACTTTTTCATATCAACGATTTTTTACCTTACAATCTTCATTTAGTTTCCTTGGTCACATATACAAAGACGAACTTTCAAACCCCAATAGATGGAAGAATATATAAATCTAGGCTTGATTGGTGAGGGTTCGTTCGGCAGGGTCTACAAAGCTCGAATAAAGGGCAGTGGCCAAATTGTTGCAATGAAGCTTATAGGAAAGAAAGGAAAAAACGAAAAAGAGCTTCGAAATCTGAAATGTGAAATTGAAATTCTCACCAAACTAAAGCATGATCACATCATCACTCTATATGATGCATTTGAAACGAAGGACAACCTTGTAGTGATAATGGAGTACGCGGTAGGTGAGCTTTATGGTGTTCTAGAGACAGATAAGCGACTTCCTGAATACCTTGTGCAACGTATTGCAAAGCAGTTAGTTCAAGCGCTGCATTATCTTCACAGCAACCGTATCATCCACCGTGACATCAAACCTCAAAATATCTTATTAGGCAACAATGGCATTGTGAAGCTTGCAGATTTTGGGTTCGCACGATCGATGAGTTTCAATACTATTGTACTAACAAGCGTGAAGGGGACACCTCTTTATATGGCTCCCGAACTTATTCAAGAGCAACCATATGATCATAAAGCAGATTTGTGGTCATTAGGATGCATTCTATATGAATTATACTATGGTAAACCTCCATTCAACACAAATAGCCTCTACACCCTTATTAACCAAATTACCAAGAGTGCTGTAAATTTTGATGAGCCCATTTCATCGAACTTCAAAAGTTTCTTGGAAGGACTCTTGATTAAACAGCCCTCTGCTCGATTGAGTTGGCCTTGTTTGCTAACTCACACTTTTGTTTCCCTAACAGATGCGGATTATGAATGGATAAGTATTACAAAAGAATCTGATACTAGAATGAAGAATAGGATAATACAGTTGGGTTGTATGAAGCTTTATCATGTTACTGATAAGGTTTGTGGAAACATGAATGAGGTTGATATCAACGGACGACCTTTTTCCTCTGAAGAGGATAGCATATTTAATTCGTCCTCTCTAATCCAATTACAGTCGGAGGACAAAAGCGTAATAAGAAGCTTGCTTGTGAAAATGATTTCAGCCATGGGAAGCGTTGAAAGTGCTCTCGAGAATAAGAAGGAAGATAAAATAACCCTAACAGCCATCATAACTTGGGCAATAAAGTTGCTTTCCTCAGCACAAGACAAAGGTATTTTGGAACTTACTATTAAATTTATTTCGGTCCTTGTCTTCCCTGAAGATGGTGATGTTCTTCCTTTTCCATCCGTTCCTGCGTTTCAGCCAGTTCTGGCTCTTCTAAAGCAACGTCACGAGCAACCACGCATAGGTACACTTCTTCGCGAAAGTGTAGCAATGGAATTGATACAGAATCCAAGGTCGCTGGCTTTGATTATGAATGAAGTCATAACTAATGCCAACTCTTCTCGTTTCCTCTGCATTAAAATATTGCTTCAATGCACTCGATGGGGGAGTAGCTTTGGGTCGTTATTTGTGCAGTTGAAAGAATTTCCTAGTTTTTGGGATTTTATTTTTCACTGGCTCTTGGATACCAATGAGATATGTGATAATATCTACTATGAAAATGCTGCTTTAATGCTTCATTTTGTTCGAATCGCAATACCCCATATTAAACTTGTGGCATCCCGCTACATGAACCACTCCAGGGTTGTCTTACTGGCAAATCGAGAGCTTTGTGCTATTTGCAGCTATAGACATACAGATTTTTCCAAAGTAGAGTCTAACGCGATGCAACTCAACTATTATACAGCTTCTGTGCTGTTCGTCGCATTCGCCTATCGTGAGCTTAACTATTTTCCAGTGTTTATGGCAGGTGATACTCTTGTTAGCGGATTTCGTGCTATTGTAGATGGAATAAGCCGTTTAAATTCAAAATCAAACACTTTCAGGATTTTAGGCAGCGGCTACGGGTATCCAGAGCATGGTATGTTAGACGGAGTTGTCCACATGCTTTCTCTTATTCTTTCGATTTCAAAATCGATTTTATGTGAGAAAATCCCTGAGAACAACGTGCAGTTGTTCCTGGATACATACCGGAGGGAATTCGTGAATCTTATTTTTACCTTTCTAGGGAATAGTGACGCACAAAGCGAATTATCGATAAGTGGGGTTCAGGTGGCCTTGAGGGCGTTACAACAGATACTATTGTTCGAGTCTATGAAGAGTTTAGATTTTTTTTTAGATCCGCTGTCCTCACATTCTGGCAATAAGGGTATTCCTATTCACCCTTTATCTGTTATTTGCAGACAACTGCAAACAGAGTACCTTCAACAAATATTCTTATGGCCCGAGAGCCACGGAGGAGGTTCACTTGGTGTAAGCTTGCATCTTACCGTTGTTGCCCAGATTTTGAATTATATCCTGCATCCCGTGGGTTCTGATTCAAAAATCAATTCAAAGATCATTTCTGTTATTCAAAAGGTAGCATGTGAAGATGGACTAGTGGAAATGTTAGTGAGGTCTTTGGACTATGCTGAGATCGCCTTTTGGGGCCCCTCCTTTACTTTAATCACCAAGCTTACGGAGATTTCTGACGATTTTGCAAAAGCCTTTGTTGACAGCGGGGGCCTGAAGCCAAAGCTAATCAAGCACGCTCTTGACAATGAGAAAGCAAATACTGGCCTTATTTTAGACGCCTTGCGTGTTTTGTCGCAGCTTGCTCGGTTATCGGAAGAATTTTATCTCCCCATTCATTCAGCGAACCTATACGGTAACTTGTCCATCCTTATCCGCCATCACAAACGTGAAATTCGCCGCAAGATATACACATTAATTGGTAACCTATGCAAGCATTCAAATTATTTTTATGTGCACTTGGACCAGAATCAACTGATAGAACCACTAGTAGAATGCTGCAGTAACTGCAACTCCTCATCAATTAAGTTTGCACTGTTTGCAGTCGGGAATGCTGCGTATCATAGTGATTATTTCTATGAGCAACTCAAGCCTTCTATTCCTAGTTTAATTCAACTTTTATCAAGCTCCGACAGTAAAACAATACAGAACACGGCAGGTGTCCTTTGCAATTTGGTTCGGAATGGAAATCAACTGCTCGGAGATTTGATGAAGCATCATGCGGCTGAAGAACTATTTAGAATATTTAAGGACGGCCCTTTAGATTGTAAAAAGGTAGTAGCTTCAGCAATAAGCATGTTTTGCCAGCATGATGTTTTTAAAAATCTATTCATTACCCTAGGCTTGAAGGATCTTATAAATGAGATGTCACAACTGCAGGATATGTCGGATCCATTTACGGATAGATACATGGACCGTATAAAGCATCGTTTGAATATAAGCTACTAACGCGATAAAATTTATTTTCCCATGCCTTGTCTCTTTCCTTGTTATTGCTTATCTGTTGCTACTTCTTTATTTTCCCTGCTAACTGTTATTGCGTTCACCTGATGCCTTTGTGGGTCGTTTTTTTCAAAAAGAAATTATTCTGCCAAATCTTTAACGATTTGAGGCCATTGAATCGATAGAAACACGTTTCAGAGAAGAATATTCACAAGCATGCTTCCCGCCTTCATTTCTATTATATATATATATAGAGAGAGAGAGAGTTTTCACCTGAAGCTTGGAACTCAAGTAGGTTAAAGCAAGGGAATAAATAGACTGTATGTCAATATGTCTCAAACAGACAGTTCCAATTTAGAAGCACTGCTGTTCGAGAAGGCAAAAGCCTACCTGATGCGTGCAAACAAAGATGGTGTCAGCGTTTATGATCAGCTTGTCCGAATCATGGAGTTATTATTGGATGAGAATCCGGAGGATGCAGCCCACAACCCGGAGAAGTTTGAAAACGTTCTACGTCTGCTTCAAAAGCATGCGTTTGTTCTTGGTGAAAGCACGGATTCGTGTAACGAGCCTGCATCAATCTCACCTATTGAGCTGAAATATTTGCGAGAAAATGAAGCCCTCTTCCAACGGCCAGAACCTGAGGTCCAAACCACCATTGAGCAACCAGATCCCTGCACTACCGTTACCACTACCAAAATTAAACCGCTAACGGCGCCTTCATGTGATTCCATTACACAGCATAACAAATTCTGGTCTGAAGCCGGATACGGAATGACAGAAGAAGAAGCTTTCTTCTTTGAGCGTTCTATCACAAAGCTTGCGATGGATAAAGGCTTGGCAGAAGTTCGCTTTGTTGGAAAAATATTCGGTAGATATGCTAATTATATCGTCATCTCCAGCCGCCGCTATCTCCAACCAGGCGAAAAAATTTATCAAGAGATAAATACCATACCAAAACCACCACGCAAAAAGGCGGAGGTCCCGACGCAACCAGAGCCCGGTTTCGTGGGTACAAACCGGCTATCCTACTGGGTTGCCTCACGCCCCTCAAGTGGATGGGTGCTCCTTCCTGACGTAACACCACAGCAAATCAACGCCGCGCGACGCATTAACAGTCGCTTCACTGGAAACCTAGATGCCGATGTCGTCGGGAATCCTCCGTTTCCATGGAAAGAGTCCGTATATCTTCGCGCGCAATTATCAAGAATTGTAAGTGGAACCTTCATCTCACCTGTCGGTGCACTTGAGAGGCCTGAAGAGGATTCAGAGGAGTTTGAAAGTGAAGAATACGCCGACGATGATGAGCAATTTTCACATACTCAACCAAAGGAAGCAAAATACCGCCCACTCACCGTCCCAGCACCGGGGTACGGTGAAGACGAAATGGATGTTGCCCAGCTTGCTTCGCTGGACCAATGGGTGCATTCTGATAGCATGATTTTAAATAACGGACGCCAAACAAAAGTACCAGAAAAAATAGAAAACGAAGATGAAGAACAAGATGAGGACAAAGATAACCAAGATGTTGAGTCTGATGAAGAAGAGGAAGTCGAAGAGGAGGAAGAGCCAGAGCTGTTTAGTCCCATCAAGACAGACTACTTGCACGCAGTCATTAACATTCCTCAGCCGCCCCCGGATCTTGATGAGGAAGAGGAAGAAGAAGAAAAAACACAGGAAGGTGCGGAAGGAGAGCAAGAGGAAGAACCAGAGGACAACACACCAGTAAAACCCCTGAATGACGATGATGTTCCTGACGACGACGTCACGAGACTAAAAGTGGCGGCGTGGAAGATACGTATCGTGAACAATACAAATAAGGACCATCGAATTGTGGCAGTTCACTCCTTAAGATGGCCTGGTGCTTTCGCGTATGCTGGAAACAATGGCAAGCGCTGGGGTTGTGCGTACTTCGGATCCGGCCTTAAAAAGATGGACTATGTATTCACACCTCCACCGGCGCCGCCGATTTTGTCTGAGTGCTCTGATCTTGTGGAGGCAATGGATCCAACTGCAGCTGTAGAAAAGCTTGCTCGTCGTGGAGAAGAGCCACCAGAGGGTGACAGTGAGGACGAGCTCGAAGAGGCTGAGGATGGTGGAGCCATGTAAAAGATAGTATTTTCTATTGTTTATATATATATACATATATATATATATATATATATATATATATATAAACTTCCTTTGACTGTTATTGATGTAGAATAAGACGAAAAAATGTGTTAAGGTAGCATAATCAATTGTAAAGGACATGACTAAAACGGTACAGATCATCCGCTTTAGTCGAAACGGCTTCTCAACCAAGGGGTTTATATCTTCGCTCTAACATTTCATCTTCTCTATTCTTATAACAAATGATTATTACGAAGAAACGGAAAGCCATCCCATTTCTATCACGCGCGTATACACGCGCACACACATACATACGAGGTCATTTAAAGAGAAGAAAGTTTCCTTCTCCTTCAGAATAGTTGTGAAAGGTGCCAAGTAAATGATGTATCGATGGCTCAGTTTCCCATCACGTCATACCACTGGTAGGCTCAGTGGATGGCATGCATGTTGCATGCAATTCTCCCTTAGATTTGGATCTACCGTCGCAGGTACGTTTTATCCTGAATCAGACACTGCGGGATCTAACACAATGCAAAACGACATTCGCCTAGGCATCGTTATCAAGCCTCAAAGCACCTTAACAGAACTCTGGGAGCAGGCTGTAAAGGCATGGCCACATCGAAGGTTCCTTGGTACCAAAATGTGGGTGCGTGGTAGGCTGGGGTATGTATGGGCTACCTATGAATCTATCGCTAAAGAAATTGATGCCATGAGAATCCTGCTACACAAAATGGGTGTTAATAAAGGTTCTCGTGTGATTGTTATTAGTGAAAATCGGTACGAGTGGGTTGTTGTGCACTTTGCGACTATGCAGCTGGGCGCACAATTTGTTGCCTTACCCACTAATATCACGCCTTCTGAAGCACAGTTGGTAGTGCACTCTACACAAGCCAAAGTACTTTTCGTAGAAACGACGACCTCATATGCAGCGGTAAAAGGGTGGATTGGAAATGTGGGACAGTTGGAGCATGTTATTTGTTTTGAAGACCAACTTGGGGAAGCAAGTTACACAGTAGCCATTAACATTTCAGCGGACGTTCCGGAAAAAGTTGCGCCACGAACTGACACTAACGCGGAAGATACAGCCATGATTATGTTCACCTCCGGGACAACAGGGCCCCCAAAGGGTGTAATGCTCTCTCACAAAGCTATTGTGGCCAATATCAGCTCCATTTACGCCAGTCTAGGTGAGGCGCTGACACACACCGACCTCTTTATGTCCCTGTGTCCTTGGTCCGTCGCAGGCACCCTAACGGTGGAGTTGTACCAAGCGATTTGCAAAGGGGCCTGTATTTGTATTCCCCCAGAACTCATCGAAGGGTTTCAGGATCTCCCACTGGTCAACCCCAGCGTTATTGTTTCTGTTGCACAGCCATTCCAACGAGCATATGCCAACATTGTGGACGATGTAATGCATCGAGGGACTTTTACAAAGGACCTCACCCGTCTTACGATTGGCCGCATCACGGAGAATCGACTCATGATGAAAAAGCCCGGGAGAACGCTGCGAGCCTTTTCCAACATACTGCTAGGGAAGTTCAAGGAGCAGTTCGGCACCGAATTGCGTATCGCTATTATAGTTGGTCATCAGCTCACAAAAGATCAAGCAGAGTTAATGGCGGATCTGGACGTGTTTGTGGTAAGTACCTATGGGTGCTTGGAAGCTGGTGGGCTTGTTGCAACTGATATCGATGTCCCACAACGCTTGAGGGCACTTCCTGGCATCGAGGTGCGCATCATAAATGATAAAAATGAAATCGTAGCCCCTGGTGATTTAGGAGAAATCCTTGTAGAGTCACCTAACGCTATGCAGGGCTACTTTGACATTCATATCGATCCAGAGGAAGCCAAAAACTCTCTCATTGAGTACGGAAGTCGCTCATTCGTGCGAACAGGCGACTACGGCTCCATGACTGGCGGCTGGATGACGGTAAAAGGCAACAAAGATGTGCTTATTACCTTGGCTGACGGGAAGGCCGTGGATCCACTCGAAATTGAGTCAACATTATCGAAGAGTCCTTTCATTAAGCAGGTTTTTGTATATGGTAATAATCGTCCATATGTCGTCGCCCTCGTTGTGCCGAACACCAAGGTGATCGCAGCACATCTGCGTAAGGTAGAGCGACGCGATGGGCTGCCTATCGTCAATGAGCGAGAGAAGGCCGACACCATTCGTGCAGAATTGAGGCGTGTGTCGCAGAACCTTCCGCCTCGAACCCATGTTCGCCGGTTTGCCTTCGTGGAGGAATTCACCCTAGCAAATGGCTTTATAACGGCTAAGATGGGCTATGCGCGGCAAAAAATCGAGAGCCACTATGTGCACTACTTTGAGGCCATGTTTGATGAAACACCCAAGTTTTATGGGTTCGCCGTTGATGATTATGATGATCTTTTTTAGCTGGGGATTGGCATTGAAATCGAACATAAGGAGGAGAGGTAGGTGGAAGGAGTCAAGTCAAAAATGGGCATGTCTCTTTTGAACAATTTTCAGGTTTCAACTACGCTTCTCTCCCCATCTCCTTCGTTTTTGGTGCATTCCGGAATTGCTTCTCTTTTTACATGCCTTTGGATGTACTTTTGTTACTCTAGTTCCATATATTCATATGTATTGCATCTAAAAATCTACCCCTTAATTTCTTCATCTGCCTCTGGCCTATTAGACTATTAAAGACACTACAGCAAGCTTAACTTTGTGTGCGTGTGTGTTTAAAAGGAAAATCAAGTTTCCCATGATGAATAATGAAGCTCGATCTTTACTGCTTGAAGACCTCGTGAAAAATACTGACAAGATTAGTTGCATCGATGATCTTCTTCAAGTCCTGCAACAGGCGTTTGTTGAAGTTTTTTTTAATAAGAACCTTTTAGATGAACAGAAGCAATATTCTCCGTCTTCTTCTTTTCAGCCGTCGCAACCCTTGTCGCTGGACTCAAACGAGGAAACCAAGGTGTCCCTTGTGCGATCGGTGCGAGTGTTCCACGAAAAAGGTACTAAATCGCACCCTGCGTTTTTCCAAGACGAAGCATACCATCCACAGGCTGCCTTGTTCATTCTTGAAATGTTGAAGTCTCTTTCAGGGAATTCAAAGCAGTGGTTCAAAGAGCTGCAGATAGAAAGTTTGTCTGCATGTTTGTCTGTGTTTAAGGCAATTGGCACTAAAAACGTCCGTAAATGTCTTCCCGGCATCGTCTCGGCAACGGTTCGTTATCTCGACCGATCTCATCTTGGAAAAGATTCGGTGTTGGTTCAACTGAAGGCACTGCACGTATTGCATAGCGCGCTAATGATCTCATTTGCGTCGAAGGAAAATGAACCTTGGATTGTAGATACAATCGGTCATTTGACCAATGCTATGAAGCCTATTTTGGATCCAAAAAAACTCACAAAGAACGGGTATAGTGAATCCACTGTCTACCGACTCAAAGTATTCTTTTCCGATATGATGTGCTGTCCGGGAATGGAGTTCGGCGAGACGAGCATCCTAGCACAGGACTTGGTTGTTGCCTTCGTGGTGGTCGAAAACCTTCACCACCTTCAAGGGGCCTGTGACAGGGGTGAAAAGGGAAAGTGGGAAGATTGGGAAACGGGCCCCCACTCCAGTCGCGCCACGTTCGATGATGTAGTGTGTCGGCTAAGAACGAGGGCTGCGGAACAGGCCCTCTCTGATGCTTTGAGGCAGCTTGGAGGAGTAGAATTGTTACATGTAGTTACAACGGTGCTGCGTTTCTCTTTTCTCCGCCCTATCATCATTTCTGAGTCTGAAGACAGTGTTATGGTCTTCAAAACGCTTGTGCGTAAGCTGATCCGTATTGTGGCTACTGAAATGATGGAGGACGCACTCTACACCTCTAGACAGCCACGTCGCTACCCTAGTGGCGTTGTGGATGAGGCCTTGGAGTGCTTGGCCCACGCCCTAGCTGAAGTGGACGTTCACAATCCAGATAGTTGTGAAACACCCGTAACAGAAACTCATGAAACGAGTGGTGAATTTCTTACCAATATCCTGCTGGATGAGTGCGATGCCATTTTACAGGACTGGGACCTCTATATGATCCATGCTCCAGCCATCTATGTGTTGACGCGTGCAGTGCTCTGGCAATTCAAGCCCATTCCAGATTTTCTGCAAGATAGCTTTAGCCCGTCACACAAGGACGGAGAGAGAGGGCATGCTTCATATTTTCCTGCGCCCGCGGATTTTATTGAGATGGGTGCCTTTGAGCAGTTGTGGTCCGTTGTGGCAGTGCCGCACCTATGGAATATTGCTGAGGATGAAGAGCTATGCAACTATCAGCAGGTTCATCATCGTCAGGTTGTGGCAGCAACTATACTACGATTTCTTTCGCTGGCTGCTTCTGATGTTTTGGAACCATCAGTCTTATCAGGAGGAGTTGAAGGGCGTCGCAGCTTTGAACGCTTCAACACGCTCGCACTGTACTTAATCCTTGAAAAAGCGTCCGCAGGAGGGATTGTACAAGATGCAGCTGTTGAATGCATCAGACAATGCATGAAAGCGTCCTGTGAGAAGGATCCAATGAATTACTTCTTAAACGTATGTCTACCTTTAGTCGATTCAGCTTCTCGAGCCATGAAACAACCGTTTCTGCGATCTTCTGTGGCTAGCGTGCTGCGTGGTATAATCGAGTTTGTAGTTGAGGGTAGTTTTGGCACTGGTCTTAAGCACTCGCATCGACGCATGCTTTTAGACCAGAAAGCCACAAAGACTGAGGACTATCACACAGATGTTGACGAAGGTGATTTCAACATGATGACCTTCATGTTTCACGGTCGGAGCTCTCGACTTTCCCTATTGATGTGTCAACGCCTATCCGTGGTTGAAGTTCGTGCTGTGACTCAGTGTTGTCTTTTTCGTGATGACTACGCGATTTCTCGTGTTGCTGATTTTGTTCGCTCGGCCGTTGACACTGCTGCCGATGGGTGTCGAATCGCAGCTACGGATATCGATGAAAATGGCTTGAAGGCAACCCTAACCTTAATGCGGGATTGTTTCGACATGGCCACGCTTTTAAACATGGCCACAGAACGCGAAGCCGCGGATGATGAATTTGATCGTCAGACGACTTCATACAACAATAACGTAAAGCTATTGCAGCTGAAGGTGTTGGACGCGATTATGCTGGTCATTTCACACTGCGCACAGCACACGAATGTTTTCACATATGTAGTGGGAGCAGTTATTCGAGGTCTTACTTCCTTTCTCACTACGAAGCAAGCCGAGTCGTGGCGACAGGCCCGCGAAGAAGAACTTGCGGAGGCCAGACGTAAAGTGATGATGGAGACCAGCAAGGGGAAAAAAGAGCACCATCAGTTTTCTGGCTCTGCAGAAACGGAGGACTATCCTCCCCATGAAAGCGAAGAAGATGAAAATGGAGAAATTGCAGCCTTGAAGGCTCCCCCGTTGCCATGGTTCGACGAAACTGCTTCCTCCAATAGTGAGATACCATTCATGAGGGAAGGGATAGAGTGCGCGATTGTACTACCGCGCAGCCATTTAAAGACGGTTTACCGCATCTATCTCTGCTTCTTCGCTAAGCTAAAAGAGCCAATTGCTCTCTTTGTGATGACTTCTTCCCGATCAGGTAAACGTAGTGGCGAGGAGCGGCGTCGCATGGAAGCGGTACCCGTGAGCCCTGCTCTCTTTGCTGTCTTCGATGGCATGGAGGCCTTGCTTCTTTTGGCAGTTGATTTCCTTTGTCATCGGATGGTCGAGGAGGTCCTTCCATTAGTCTTGACGTGGTACGAGCGAGCATGCCTTCCCCGCATTCCAACAAACACAGATGAGCGAGTGAAGGAAGCTTGCAAACATTTTGCAGAGACAGCGATGCGAGAAAGCCCTATATCCGATCTGAAGAAAGAAGTGCAAAAACAATGCCGACCTTTTTTTCCCATTTCTCTCCCATCAGCAGAAGTTTCCGCTGAGGATCACAACATGACTAGCTAACAGAGAGTTGCAGTCTCAAGTGGTTCCACGATTGCAAGAGAGGATCTGAAAATGGCTTATCTGGGGTAAACTAGATATGGATCACCTGGAACGGAAGTCTACTAGAAAGAATGGGGGGAGGGCAGGTGGAAAGTACAGTGGGTGCATGGATGATCTCATATTGGATCTGTGCATGACTTAATGTAGTTAACACTTGCATTTTTATCGTTCATCCAATTCCTATTTTATTTACTCTGCACCATACAGTGATTTATGCTCAACCTGACAATAAATAGTCACAAACAAGCAAAAAACCTATATATCAGAAGTATATCCTTATCAGAGCCTTCTTTTTTCTGGTATAAAGACATTTCAGCAACGGGGAAAAGAAGGGTAGGATAATTTGGGTTCATTACATTACAAGCAAGATTGACATTCATCGCGCACTTATTTTGAAGCGGTCTTCCTTTATGACAAAAGGACAGGCATCCTTTTAGAACTCACAGTATTTGATTACGCATACATTGGTATTTGGCACTTTTCAACTCGATTTAAAATACGCGCTATGGATGTGTCACTCGGTGAAGAACCTAATGCCCTCGAGCTCCCTGAACCCATGTTGACTTCACTAGAATGCGCCGTCAGTCCTATTCACCACCTCCTCCTTTCTTACCCAGTACCAGAGCTTGTTGTTCCAACGCGTATTGCCTCTCTTCCACCACCCAACGGCGAACATCGTCAGGACGGCATGCGTAATAATAGAAAATATTCAGAAATAGAACCTCAGACACGCTCTGCATTTTCTGGAGAGGCAGCGAACCCAGGACGAAGCGATAACAAGGAAGATCTGTGGGACCAGAAAGAAGTGCAAATGTTAGCGCAGAATATGCAGACATCTATTACGGATCTCTTACGTAGTGGACAATGTACTCAATTCCTGCAAGAAGAATTCCACAGCGAGTCTTGCGCTGCCGCGTCCAGCACATCTATGGCGACTACCGCTGCTACACCGAAACAGGGTGATAAATCTACAGATTGCCTCCCCACCGCCGCTGCCGTGTCGTATTTGGACAAACAGACTACTGAATCGTTAATGACTCAGCTTAGTTCGGAAGCGCGGAGAACCACTACCATTTCCCGTCCCAGTAGTATAAAGGATACACAAAGCAGTAGTTGGACTTCGAGCTCCCGCATGACTCTTCGCCCGCGCAAAACCTCATTGCCCTCTGAACAGCAGCATGAACAGACGTCTCCTGAGCCAAAAAAGCCCGATCAAATCTTTAAGAAGGAGGATTCACCGCCACCAGAACAGGATGCTTCTCCTATACTTGAGACGGAGATTGCAAGTAAAGGCATCTTAGCCGATATGTTAGCGAGTGTCAATACCCTTTCTAAGGACGTTTCGGGGTTTCTGTCCTTTGCGTATGCACCGACGTTGGCACTCGACTCCTTCAAAGAAGTTCCTGCGGAGGAATTGTCCGGTTTAGTTTCTGCTCTAGTAACTGATAGTCAAACTGAGGATTTAAGGGGTATGAAGGAAAAAGAAGACCCATCGTCGTGCCAAAGGGATTGGCTAAGAACAGCACGTGCTTTGTGTTGCATTACACTTGTGTCTTGCCCTGCGTTTGACGTGAGGCTGATACCAGACGGCACAGTTGACCAGCTCATTACCATCTTTGCTGGCGTCGTTAGGTACGTGACCGCTGAACTATCCTGCCCTGCATATGAAAATAAGGTAACACGGGGTCGAGGAACAAAAGGCAGTACAGCGACGGGGATCCTACGTTCAATCAGCCAAGACATGCCGAATGAGCTGAATACCTCCAGTAGGCAGCACTTTGCACCTCCTAAAACAATGCTGAAGTGGATCGAAGCACTTCGTCTCTTTTTGCAACGGTTTGCTCCGGTTGTTTGCAACCGCACATTGGACCTAGTTCTTGACACCAATCTTGTTCGGCTTGAGGATTTTGTATATCATTTGCTTTTTGTGGCCCCACATCGATCCGTAACGAGGGACGCATACCTCTGGTATACTAGCTACATAGGTGACTGTGCTTTGCACACGTACCGTTGCTTGTGGAATCGACTTGAGACTCAGCGCGCCACCACAGCCAGACGCTTTTTTTCACGACTGCCGCTCTCCAACTATCTCACATTTCGAACCCTGACATGTGCCAATGGAAAGAAGCTGTTGCCGTTAACTGTGGCAGTGCTCAGTGCTGCACAGTCGGTGCCTATCGATACCGATACAACAGATTCTGGCCTCGCAATGTGTCTCAAGAGCCAATGCGATTTGTGGGTTGAATGCTTACTACGTCAACTGATTTTTGAGCACGAAAAGGATGAGAAACCACTTCAAACCATCACATGGAATATACTGACCTTGTTTTTGGAGGATTTGGTGGAACTCATTGGAGCACCGGAGTGGCCAGCAGCCGATATGCTTCTTCGCTCATGCGTGCTTTCCCTCATAAAAGTATTCTTTGAAAACAATGTTCGCCGCCAAAGTAGTAAAACCGCTAAGGCTGCTTCTATGCGCACCACGCATGCTACTGCCGCCGTTGATGTCATCGCAGAGGTGACGCTTAAACTATTTCATCCATCGATATCCGGTTTGACACTCATGTCCTCCCTGCCCCAGTCTCAGCGCCTCCAAGAAGAGGAGTCCCTCAACGTAATGATGAACGAAGCCCTTTTGCAATATTGGGCCGACGCGACGCGAGAAAGTGTAACGGAAGGCAAGCCTGTTCAAAAACGTGGCAATTCAGGTCTGTCGCGGCACAAACATAGGTCCGTAAATAGTTCGGACCGTAAGGTCGACGGGTTAGATGCAGATGAATCTGGTGCAGCCGCCACCGGTAACCTAAATCGTGAGCATGTCCTGCGCACGGATGAAAGTCGCGTCCTATCCCTCACAGATCAAGCGCGGAGGTTAATTTACTACGCACTTTCCCATTATGCTGAAACAACTTCGGCGGCGGATGAGGCCTCGCTCTGGTTTCACGCACGGGCCGCGCACGTGTTGGGTTGGCACCTAAACAACCCTACGTCTTTACCAGCAAGCGCTCTCGATCGGCTGGTTCGGGCCAAGGCAGTGCCGTCCGCCGGTGTGCGCGTCGATTTGTCAGAACTTCATCATTGGGGGCGTATGCTGTGCGCGCAAGAAGATGAATCGATGCTTAGCGCAAAATCACGCCTAATGCTTGTGTCTGTCCTACTGAATCTTCTATACATCAAAGATGATCACGGGCAGGAAACGCTGATAGTATCAGACACAGTGGCCAAGAGAAGTTTACACCATCTTTCGCGCATCGCAGAGATGTGTCCGTCGGTGTGTCGGTTAATGTGGCCGATTACACGACGATGTGTTCGCGAGAGCTCCACAATCGTACGAGAATTGAGTGTACCACTATTACTGGGATTGCTAAGGAGTGTAACAAGTCCTTCTGGTGGAGTAAGCGCCCTGCCAATGGAAGAAGCTAATCTTGCCGCTGACGTCATCAGTTCGCTGCTTCATCTATTAGAAGACAGCAGTGTAACGGTGGTGTCGCGCACCATAGCCGCCCTTGGCACCGTGATAACGAATCGCCTGTACGTTAGTCTACTGGAATCGGCCCAGGGCAAGGAGTTCTTAGGCTTCATCCAGTATAAGCTCCTCTTAAAAGCGAAGGATGTGAAGCATAGTGCCGAGGTTACTAAACTTTTTTTCAAGCGTTGGGTGCTCGGGTCCTTGGAGACTGAAGACGAAATTGCTTTCACAGCGATGAGTATGATGCCCCACATCCGCCTTACTGCTGAGCTTCTTGATCTTGTTCGGCAAAGTTCTCATGAGTATCCGTACGAGGTACAAGACGATAATCCGCTGATTAATCTACTGTCTGGTTTCAGGCAATTAGAAACTACAGCACCACGTCTAGAGCCGGCCGAGCTTACCCAAATCACACAACAGCAGCAGAAGAGTGGGGAAGTGGATGTACAGCACATCATGTGCAATGTGGCGCGGAGCCTATGGAACCAACAACAATCTGCAGACACAGCCGAAGAAAGTGTTCTCTGTATGGCAGCCCTTCGTGTGCTTGCCGTTGTGGCGAACGAGTGGGTGGAGCCGTTGATGGACGCTATTTTGTCTGGGTTGGAATATCCATTCACTGCCACGCCTCCTTCCTCCCAGGACCAGCAATCTAAGAGGGGAAAGGAATGGCTCGGTGGTGTACTTCTGCAGACTTGCCAGATTACCAAGGCGGTGCTCTCGTCTTCCAAGGTCCCGACGATATCCCTCGAGCACCTTGCACGCGCCTTGACGAAACTATTGTCCAAGTACACTGGTCCGTATCAGCAACGCATCATCACGTCATCCTGCGGGGCGCTTGCCTCGATGATCACATGTGGTGCTAAACATAAGCTCTCTTCTCACATCAACCAAACCTACTTACGAATCTGCTATTCGCTTATGAATTTGTACTACATGCGCGTAAAAGGTTTGCTACCGGAACTGGCAAATCAACCCCAAAACATCGCCTACACACAGCGCTTTCTGTTTCTCCTTTCGGAGTTGTTACGGTCATACCCTGGATGGCGCACACCTCACCCCGTGCTGTACCAAGATGCAGCGACGTCATCCGGCGCCGACGCCGTTCCTAACATGTTGATCAAGGGTGGTGGTATCTGTGAGAACATCTACGAGCTGGTCGTGGCGGTCCGGACCCAATGCGGAGAGGACGCGCGTCCGCGGCTAAACGTGATTACACTTCGTGTGCTTGCAGCATTGTGTATGTTGCAGCCGGTTGACTTTTTACACCGCTGCGAAGCATACGTTATGGAGGCGCTTGCCGATCTAAACGACGTCGCTCACCAAACTCAAGGTTTCACTTTTATAGTAGATTTCTTGGCGGATGAAGACGCCAGGGTTGAGTGCGCTGCACGTATGGCAGCGAAAATGAGTTCAGGTGGTTCCGTATTATCGGACCGAGAGTCGGACAAAAGTGATGAGGAGGGTGGTGTTCACGTAAAATCACGAAGCCGCCCGCCTCCCAGAGGTATTAAAAGGACTCGTTCTGCTATGGCGACAGCACATGACGCTCTTAGCCTACCAGAACAGAGCAGCGGCATGGCGACGTGGGTCATGCAGCGATTTCACACACACGTCATTGAACGGTGTAAAAGCCAGCACGTGTCAATTCGTAAGTTGTGTCTGGATATCCTGGAGCTGACCGCGCGAGGTGGGCTTTTACCACCAGTTAAGTACCTTCATGCAGTGGTTGCACTCGCTGCTGATGTCAACCTCAGCCTACGGCAGCGCTCAGGGCAGTTCTTATTGACACACCGCGATCAACACGAAAACATCATCACCTCCATCGCGAGTCGTGGAATAGAGTTAGCATACGATATTCAACACTTGTGTGGGGCCAACCTCATCCATAATGCGACCACTTCTAGCAGCGATGCCACTGTGGTGCAAAGCATTCACGCTCCACTATTCACACTGCTGCGCAAACCTTCTCGTGATGGGCTCATCGCGTCCCTGCTGAGGTACTTTTACGATGAATCCAAAGCAGAGGCGTGGGTTAGCGAGCACGATAATAAAGCATGGGGGGGCCCCATAGAGGATGTGTTTCGTGCTTCGAACCCGGTCACCTTCCTGGGGCACCTGGCGGTGGTCATTGCTACACGCCCGTTTAGCTCCGAGGGCGATATCGTGTATCTTGTACAGCGCTGCCGCACTGGTATTGACCTGCATGGCGAAAGTGCGCTAGATCAGATATCATCCTTGCTCAAAAAATACCGAGAGATGGGAAATGGAAGTATACAAGGGGGAGACATTGAGCAACCTCTCATGAATATCGTATCTCTCTGGAAATGTGTGGGAGTGGTGCTACTTATGTACATTCACCGCGCTGTGCGAACAGAATACCGGCAGAGGTCATTCAAGCTGAACAATTCTACACAGCAGGGGAACCTCGCACACACCCCTTTACATCAACACGATAGGAAAAACAATACAACCTCAGCCTTTCTTCCTAGCGTGGAGACATTGGTACACCATGCCTGTACTCTCCTCCATGTGTGTGGCGAGTCTGACGATGTCCAGAGGTACAACGAGGATGCAAGTAATGGAAAGGAAGAAGGGAAAAGTGAAAGCGTGCTATTGATTTCTTCATCTAAAGAAACAGAAGAGGCCCTAGCGTTTCTTCGTCAAGAACTCGAAAGCGGTTTACTTGAGGAGGGCATCGGTGGCGTCGAACGTGGGTGCGGTACCACAAAGTCAGCAGGTGCGAGCCAGCGGTGTCTGAAGAAACGGATGGGTACGGCAACAGGCATGCTCAGGCGGCGCGTGTCGAGACGGAAGGAAAGTTTGAGTACACAAAGCGATTCCCACGATAGTAGCCACTCAACTTGCTCATCCTCATCCGTCTCGGAAGGGGATGGTGATATCGCTGAAGAGGATACGGAAACTGCTTCTTCTTCAGTGAGTGCATCAACAGCAACTGAGTGTGATACATAGTAACCAAACGATAGTTCCAAAAGGGGTAGTGGTTTCGTTTAACCTAGATTTTACCATACTGCTTTTATCTATTTATTGTCACTTCCATTGTTTCATACATATCATAGAAAATACAGAGTACCATAGATACAATCTGAGCTTGATTTAAATAACTTGATTTTTCTTTTTGCTTGTCAGCTACCACGAGCACATAAAATGTACTTTGAGCTTTTTTCTTCTTGCATTCTATTATTTCCCAATTACTTCGGTAAGCCTCAAACTCCTTTGAATCACAATACTTGCTTCCTCTTCTACACATTTTCATACATAAAGGTGTACATTTTAGGTAAATCGCTTTACCGTCTTTTTTTAGAAGCATTACTCTTTACGCTGTTCAGTGTAAAGGCGTAGAGCACCGTGCAGCAAGTAAGAAAAGAAAGCTTTCTGCCATCATAGATACCCCTTAAAATGCTGTTTTATGCTTACAATTAGAGGAAATACAATTTTTATGATAGAATAACATTAATTTTTATAGTGTATATTTACCCCCTTTTCTAACCTAAGAAATGTTTCAAGAGATTTTGGACTTTGCCTTAAGCTTTGTTGGCATTCATGTTGAAAATGAAGGATGCACATTAGCTGAACTTGGAGAGTTCTTAGACAATGACGTTTTCCCATTTTGCGGCTGGTCTGGCAATCGTACCTTGCGAAACAGTGTCGTGCGGCTTTTGGTCAACGAGTTCAGCCCCAAGGAGATAACGCTTACCCTGCATAGCCCCCATCCGTCTGACTCTTTGGTGCACTCCGTCGTGAAGCAAAATAAGCAAAGCCATGAACTTCAAAAAAATAGTGAGTCTCTGAAACCTAAAGGGAGCATGAATGCAAAGCAAGAGCGCAATGCCAACGCCACATACGAAATGGGTTCTGAAATTCCTTCACGGAAAAGCTTGACCCCGTCTGAACTGATTCACATTCTCAACGAAGAACACACATTGTGGGAAGACACCTCTCCCGGATCAATATCTCGTCTTGTGCATATTTGCCCTTCCCTTGAGTTATGTGAAAAAGTCCTCGGTGTCCCCATTCGCACCTTCTCAGATCGGCAGACCCTGAGCTATGTCTCGGAGAACGCACTCCTCGGGTGTGACAGAGTCATTGTGAAGACTAAGCTTGCATCAAAATATAAACAACACACTCTAACGACTGGACTGTCCCGGATGTGCCGTAATCAGGTACTCTCTGTGTATTATCTTATGGATGATAAGACACATGAACTGACGTGTCGGTATTTTCCGTGGTACGCCGCACCTCTGACTGAACTGGAAAAGAAAGAGCTAAGCACGTCCTCTGCACATTATTCCGTCGACAAAAACGGTTGGAAACCTGGAGGTAACCTCACACCTCAGTGGCTAATACATCAATGTAACAAAAAAGGCAATCAACCAATCAAACATTATTTCTGGCGTATGCGTCAAAACAACTCACAGTTTCCAGACTACGTTTTCGATCTTAAAGCAGTCAAGCATGCCGTTAGGTCGTCACCAGAGAGGAAACTCCTATATCAAGACGCGATCCACACCATCTCTATGGTGCATGGTTTGCACCCGCATCAACTTAACGAGTTCAATAAAACCAATCGAATGCGCTTGCGCCGCATGCTCATAGCGGCAGGCCTGCGCATCGTAGTGGTCACAATTTCTGTGCGTAACCGTCAGCGGGAGGTCTCCATTGTTATCCCAGAAGAGGATTTCTACAAATTTGCGCTGAGCAATATGGGTGCCCTTAAAAAGGTGAAGACAGAAGAAAGTGAAGTCCTGTCTTCGGTTTCTCGCGAAATAAAAAAAGAAAATGCTGAAGATGGAGACAAAGATGCGACAGAGACTGGAGCAGAAATTTTGAATGAAACCGCGGAAAGTTCACTACTAATGCAACAGAGCAGCTTGGCGATTGACGCCGGGGACGGGGAAAGCGACACCAGCAGCCGCAGTATCAGCGCCTCTGACTCCGATGATGAGAATGCAAACACATCGAAAATGAGTGGTGTACATTCTAAGAAGGAGCTCCTGGAAATGAATGAGACACGGAAACGGTCTGAAATAGCAACAAGAACACTTCGCATATCACCTGACTGGCCCTTTGACCTGCAGTTTGCCAAGGAAGCCGAAAGGCGTCCAATTGCGATCGTAGCAGCTTACCCACGGATGGTGTTTTACCCAAATGAGAAGTCGCGCATTAAGTCCTTGTGTCTTTATATGACAAACTATCTCAAGCGTGGCACATTGGAGACGTACTACACGCTTACAGGGCACAATAAATGCTTCACGCTGGTGTATGCCCCCAAGACGGAGCCCCCTAACAGCGTGTCAGGCGCAGGGCTTGACGGGGAAGTGACCGAAGGCACTCAACTTCCCGCAGGGACATCACAATACGCCATCGATGTCGTTCTTGACGCGCTGAAGGCCTCCCCGTATAAGGCTCTCGCTATTCGAGATTTTGCCGATTTTATTGACATTAGAGCATTGCAGCGTCGCGTGTTACCCTATCTGCGATCGACCAACCGCGTCACAACGACGGGAATTACGCTGAAGAGCAAGGAGCGTGCGGGAATTGTGGTGCTGGCCGGGACAACCCTGACTGAGGACGAAAAGTACGCCGTTGTGAAGGCCTGTCGAGAAGCAACTCGCCAACCGGTAGTTCCAGGAGAACACACGCAGCGCGCCATTGCTCAGACTTATGGGCGACGACTCAAACTGGATGTGTTACTGCCCAATATACCTGCTACAGGAGACGGGGTAGAAAAATCGGAGGCGCATATGTATCTCAGCAATTCGAACTCCCGCATGATCACCATGGCGCGTAAGATAATGACTATACGCAACGGCTACGCACTTAATCCGCTGTATCGTGCCGGGCGTTTGCACCTGGAGCTGTGGAAACAGTGGCATGGCGGTGTCTATCAACGTGACAGCGGCTCCGCCAATGATGCGACAATGTGTTCCATGAATGTGCAAGACATATACGACAACATGTCGCTGAGTACATTTTGTATTGTAATAGGGTTTGCTGCGTTAGATCTTACTGCAGTTCTGGCTGAACACCGTGGTCGCGACACTCATTCCACCTCAGGAGGCGTCTCATGGGCGACTCCTCTTCGTCTACTTCCCCCAAGCGTGCACAAGGTTTGTCAAGAGCAAGGGATTCAACCACTACTTCACAGTCTCAGCGTTCTACAGAGCCACGGACTGATTGTAAGCGACGAAGTACTCGATTGCTTTGTAACCAAAAAGCTAAGGGATATCACAATTGCTCTAGAGTGTCATGCTACCGACCCAGTCAGGCGGAACACTATCGTTTTACATGACCGTACGCGCTACACACCATCCATGACTATGTGCGCCGTCCTAAGGTACTGGCTTCCCGTGTGGGGTAGGAGCGTCAAACACGCGGTCATCCTCCGTATGTCTGAGCTTTATGAGTCCGAATCGAATCCTACAATTGAGACCCTGATCGCTTTGACCCGTCGGATGCGCTTTAATGTCTGCGTCCTCGCCGAATCCTTTTACCAGAGTTGTGGAATGAATAGATCGCTTTTAGGTAACACGCTTTCTCAGGAATCTCGAAAGGACGCGAAGACACAACTCTCATCGGACCTACTCCAGCATGACGGTCGTGGGCGACGAGGTCCCACTCGTCGGGCTATGGTTACCCGCAGAGACACCTCGGGTGCTACGTTGGCGAAGGACCTCGCTAGTGTTCTCACCTCACCGCTGCCTCATAGGCGCCTGCGGAGTATACTGCATTTCCTTAAGCGGCTTAGTCGTGCGCATCTCTCAGTCCTTCCAACAGGTCTCCCATCCCTGCATGATGCCTCCCTGACCTCCCTGCAACATCACGCCTTCTGTGTAAATCCCTATGCCAATCACGGCGTTGTACATCTCTGCGCTCTTGGGGAGGCTTTGCAGCACGTGTTGCAGCGTTTCATGCCACGCAGCGATAGCTCAACTAGAGTTGCTCTCTCATCTCTTACGAGGAGCTTCCGCAAGTGTATTAACTTGGTCTTCAGTCCAGATGTCTCCTTCCCCTACATGGGGCCTTTGATAGATTTGCCATGCACGCAAAGCTCCCTGGCGTCAGATGATATGGACCTCCAACGTACTAAAACCCCACCACTGCCGGAATTGATGGAGGCCTCGGACTACGAGGAAGTGATGTTGGACTCACTTCGTATGATCCTGCTCTCGGACGCGGCGCATTACAGTTCAGCCATTGCCAGGGAGCTTGTGTTGGCCTTTCCTGCGAAACTCGTTGCGCGCAGCCGCAACTACCTTCAAAAGGAACCCTCCTTCAACCAAGGCTGCTGGAAGCGTTCGCACCGCATTCCCGAACTGGCATTGTCCGCACGGCCGTTTCTTTTCACACCGCACTTAACTCGTTCGGCACCGAGGCCGTGCGCAAATACGGCACTGATTCATGGTTGGGTTGCCAGCCTCCACGACACGATCAACAGCGTCTCGGTTGGCGCGATCAGGCGTGAATTTCAACTGGATTTGTCAAACTCTTCGTTATCTAAGCCTCATTTTGATATCATCGTCGCTTCCCAGCCCGTGATGGATGTTAAAGAAATTCTTTTGCTAGCTCGCGAGGATGACTCGATGGCGACGTTGCGGATTCCTTCACTGATTTGGCCAGCCAATGCTCGGATGCTAGAACAGGGTGTTCGCGGTGGACGTCCCGCAAGCCTCGAAAATGGTGCTAGGAAACGACGAAAGCGACAGCGTGAAGAGTATGATGATATCGACAGTAATGTAATGGACGAAGACATCGAAGGTAAGTTTGTCGAAGACGAAGAAAACGCCGCTCATATCGAGGCTCCGACAGAATCATTCGCTAACAATCCTAACGTTGCTGCATCGGCGACCCTTTACCCCGCCAGAACTTTAGTAAGGTGTAATAGGAGCGATGCAGTCCTGGCGGATCGCATCCCAACCGATCCAGAGCCTACGGCTGAGGAGACTGCGATGGTAAAGAAAAATATTGCACGCATTGCGTCTGTGAAGGGAGAACCACAAGGCTCGTTCTCATTGAGCATTGGACGAGATAAAAGCGAAGCGGCGTATCCCCTTGCCTATCCAAGTGTGTTTCATCACGTGGATGGCGCCTTCCATGTATTTGTGTGGAAACTCTTTCTGCTTTCCATCTACCGCTACGTACTCTACGTGCCAGGTGTCTTATACACAGCCTTACGGAAGCGGGCGATGGCGAGTGGGCTCATTAGTCGCCGCGCTCTAGATGCAGCACTCCAATATCTCGTTGACAGCACTGTACTCGTGTGTAAAAGAGTTCTGACGGCTGCAGGTGACGCTGAGAACTGCTACATCACTACAACCCGTCCAGAGGGTTTATGGGATATAATTAATCTCAACTAAAAAAAGTCTAGTGCTGATCAAGCAGAGCGTTGCTGCTTGTTTCGCAAAGAAGTCCTTATAGATTATGCGTGAGCATTAGATTTTCTATACTCACCAATACTAACTGAAATAGGTAGAGTGCGCATTAAAATGGAGGAGACCACACACTTACGTTTAGAAAGAACTTGATAAAGACTTTGTTAGGGCATCTCCGAGAAGGTATGCAAGCAAATGCTCTCAGGATATTTCTGCTATTTATTCCCTCCATAACCTGTTGTTTTACTGTCTTAGTATTTTAGGCGACGTGAGGCATTCTATTCGCCTCTCATTTCAGTTTCGTTCCTATTAGATCTCTATTATTCGGAATCATGCAGCTCCGTCGTGCCACGATGGAGGATGTGTATGAGATGCAACAATGTAATCTTATCTGCCTGCCCGAAAACTATAACCTTCGGTACTACTACTATCACATTCTCTCATGGCCGCAGTTACTGTATGTGCAGCAGGATTACAACCGAAATACAGTCGGTTACGTCCTTGGAAAGATAGATGATGAAGAGGATAGCAACAAAAAGCATGGTCACATCACCTCCTTGGCGGTGTTGCGCTCCCATCGCAAGCTGGGTATTGCTAGCCGGGTAATGAGAGCAACTATGAAGGAAATGGATGAAGTATACGAAACTTCGTTCTGCTCGCTGCATGTGCGGAAGTCTAACGATGCAGCCCTGCATCTTTATCAGGATACGCTACATTTCCGCTGCGCTGGCGTGGAGGAGAAATATTATCTTGACAACGAAGATGCTTATCACATGAAATACTTTTTCAATCAAAAAAACCCTGGCACCTATGTTGATGAGAACAAACGCATGATCCATAAACCTTTTCCTGGTGTGGAGAACAAAAAGGAGAATCGTGATTCGAATAGCGGTGGAGGCGCGGACCGGCACCCAGGTAAGGGCCCCAAGGCTAACTCACAAAAGAATTCAAAGAATCTAGTAGAAGAGAAGACAATGGAGATGACCAAACTGCTGGAGGAGTTGGATGAAGATGGGAAAAGTGGTGGCAAGAAGAGAGGGAATGATGGTAAAGGTGCCAAAAGCAGTAGTAAGCACTCCTCGCATCAGCATACTGCCACAGGTGGGAATAAAAAGAATAAAAAATAAACGGGACATGTAAGCACATTATGGTATTTTGATAATATCCAATTTGTTAGCGAGAGGATAACAAAAGAGCACGCAAGTCTAATTTTCAGGGTACTAGTTAATCCAAACTATAAACCCCTTATTATTTATGACTTGCATGCCTTTCAGAACCTTTTAAAATACCTTATTGATATTTTTATTCTACTTAGTGTGTGTTTTCCGCTCTAGCTTCCTGTAATTCTGATACAAGTAGCACAATTAGTCTCTTGAAGGCTTTAGGTCTTTCGCCATTTTTCAGAATTTTCCCTTTGTTTGTTTTCCATCCTTAGATCTTACTGGAGTGGTGCGGACAGAGTAGTGTGTCACCTCTTGGAATCAACCTTGCGGCTGTGTGGATAAGGAAGGGAAAAAGAATCACATCGATACATTGCACCAGTGCAAAAAAAATATCATAGATAGTAGTCGTGAATATGTTTAATCCACTAGAGGACTTATTTGCGGCGGTGGATCTCACAGGGGCGAGCTTGGTTCTAGAAAATCCTACCCTCCTAGGGGAGGTTGGTGGGGTGTTGTATGGCGACAGCCAACGAGATAGCTATCTCCGGGATGGCGGTGCCATATACCCTTCTCCCCAGCTACTCAACAACACGGTGGTTGGGTATGACGGCAAGGACAGTCTTGGTTATTTCTTGCGAACTCAAGGCGGTGGCAAACACACCTCACCCATCAAGGAACTGTGCTTTTACACACCGTATCGTATGTTCAATAAGGTGTTACGTGCAGCAGCGTTTTTATTTCCCGCAATCCGAGTTATATTCCCTTCTGCGGTGCCGAAACGCTCCCCATTATCACTGCGTTATGCAGCTTTAGAACGCCGAGCTAACATCAACAGCTCCGAGCGGATCACAGCCCTTAGCTTCCATCCTTATTTAATGATCCTTGCCATTGCGTTGGATGAGGGTGGTCCGGATGGGAGCGCCCGTGTTGTAATTTACGACGTCGCGAGAAACCAGCACCTGGCGGTGCTCTCCAACGCCTTCCAAAAGGAGGTCCAGGTAGTGGCGTGGAAGCCCCTGTCCAAAGAGGTGTTGGCGGTGGGTTGCCGAGGTGGTGTGCTGCTGTGGACCCTCAACGGATGTATCCGAGTGGGCAGTGGGGGCGTCAACCCCAACGGCGGCGGCGGTGATGGGATGTCAAACACCGCGACGTATCCTGCCACCAGCGCGAAGGAAGGGGTGGTGCCCCATGCGCTGTTCTACCAATGCACCCGAGGCGTCGCGGTAACCTCGATGAGCTTCTCCTCGATAGATGGGCGCTACGTGGCGTGTGGAAGCTGCGAGCACACACACCTCCGGGTGCTGGATACGAGCTACGGCCCGCAGGAGGCGAATAGCTGTGTGTGTAATATCGTACCAAGTATAGATGGCGGGGTTGAATCTCTTGTTTTCGCGACGGACGACTCCTCTATCATTTCCTCGGTGTGTGAGGCTCCAATTTTATGTGTTACTAACGTCAGACGATCTGCCTTTGGCACCGCTTGGATTTATACACCCGCACCGGTGAACGAAATCGCCAAAGCTACGGGTATCGGCATCAATTATTACTTTCTGTGCTCACGCAGCATGGAAGGGGTCCTGCTCGCCAAGGTGAACGCCTTTGTAGGTATTGAGGTAGTGAGTGTAATCTCAACCAGTCTTTGTCGTAGTGTTGGCGGAAATGTGCGGGCGATGACCTGCAGTAAGAGGCGTCTGTGGATTGCATTAGAGACAGGTCATCTGTTGGTATGCCATTACAACATTCATGAAGGTGCGGTATCGGTGATCCCGATCGGTGCCGCCGCGATGGAGGTAACTCACCTCGCATCATTTGATGGGTGCTCGAGCGGGTCCTTGTTGGCAATAGTCGAACGAGCGGACTCCGTCTGCTTTCTACCATCCTACCATATCTAAGTAAAAAATGAGGAGGGAAAGGGCACTAAGCTCTAGAGCAGACACAGGGACCAAAGATCGCGTATCAAGGCAAGACAGAGGCTCGGGAATCAAAAAGAAATGGAGAGGATTCACTATTAAGCTGAAAAGCTGCCCTATTGTAAATTTTCTTTTTTGATTTAGAAAGAGAAAGGGGATGCAGAAGCGAAATCGTGCGTGCGCCATCCCTGAACGAAATTGAAGCACACTAAATAAAGAAATCTTTCGAAGCCGTACCCAAAATGGAATGTCACACTGTTCAATTAACGCTTGCAGAAACAAAACGGCAAACGTAATCTTGTGCTTAATACAGTAGAATTATGCATGCTTGCATATGATTCTCCTCCTTTGTTTCCCTTCATTTCTTTGTTAATGTTTTATGGCTTCCACTGCAATAATATACACATATAGATGCATTGGCTAGCGATCCAATGATTTGTTCACTCGAAAGCATTACCGAAGTGACCAAACTTCGGCGTGCAGTCTTAGATGTAGAGCTTGAGTTAGAAGCCAAGCGAGAAGAGTACAACCAACGTATGGCTGTCGTGCGTCAAGGTGAGGAACAGGTAGCCAAGGACCGTGAGGAGCTGCAAGACACCCTTGTGAAGTACTACAAATTTATCCAAGAAAATGAACTCAAGCGCATCAGAGCAAATAAAAAGGTTATCACAGAGGAGAAGCAGAGGAAGGAACGCGAGGAGCATATGCGGCATCTTGAACAACACTTGAAGGAACTAGAGGAAAAGCGAACTAAACTTCGCCAAGAATACAATAATTTTAGTAAGTATCAAACGTTTTTAGAAGCTGTGCTTGCACGTAACGACGGCGATGAGTACCAAGAACCACGCGATATCATGAAGCGCTGGATGACGCTGCAAGATAATACTAAGGTTCTTCAGCTGCGAAAGACACAGCTTGAGGAGGATCTGCTACGGAGCAAAAATACCCTCAACGTCGCGCGTCAGAAGCACAGCAGTGAGAGTGTGTCGCTGCAGAACCAGCTCAACGAACTACAGATGAAGTTCAAAAGCCTCCATAAGATGATCAAAGTCAAGCAGGACGAACTTAAACGTAAAATTAGGCAAAAGAGTACCACTACACGCACCATAACGCACGTGAGCATGGCGGCGAAGAACCTGTGCGATCGCTGCTTGCTTTGGACGCAGCCGTACTCCGGCCGTGGCAAGGGCGAATCGCACCACGACGGCGTGTTGCACCAACTGCGCGTGATTGGTGACTGTTTAGAAGACTTTCAATCGGTTATTATCAGGCACCTTCAAAATGGGATCGCCACAGGCGGAGGTACCTGAAGTATCAGCGTCTTCTATTTGCCTGCCTGGTATGTCTTTTCCTTTTTGGGGTTTGTGCTTGGGTGCGTGTGAACGGGAAAAGGTGCGTGAAACGTTGACCTCCCTGATAGCCTGTTCGATGTAAATATTTTACCAACCGTGCTGGTAGCATAATGGCAGAAGGACAGTTGTGAGGATCGCAAACCTAGCCATTAGCAAAAATGTTGAAAACGTGTATTGTATAAAAATGAATATGTTTCAATAGCAAATAGGTTCAAGAAATGTGAACTAATTATATGGGCGGTTGGTCTTAGAAACTCACTGTGCGTCAATGGCATGATGAAAGTAAGTGCTGATAAGCTAAACAAAATCACTAAAACTCTTTGCGTCTCAGTCCCTAAATTGAAAGTTCACTGAGGATTTTCCTCCCCTTTTTGCTGTTAATATCTTGCATATCAAGTGGGTTTGCTGGCAGTTATTTAATAACCCCATCATAAAGCTTGTAAAGGAAAGGGAAGAAGCCATAGTGTTCACAGGGGGGGAGGCACGGGTTGCTGTATGCCCTTCAACCCAATATGTATTTTTTGCTTAGCAGACTGCGATGCGGAGGGCAAGCTTTCTTCCTGCCACCACTTTTTCTGCTCCCGCTGTGTGCAGCGGATGACGGCGGACCCAGGCTTTGGTACCTCCTGCCCTATATGTCAAAAGCCCTATCAGTTTTCTTGCTTAAAATCTAACACCATTCAGCCTTTGTTTCGTGATGCTGGTACCACGCTCCAGTACAGCACCAAGCTAGTGTGCAATCAAATCTTCCACTACCAGCAGGTTATTGCTCGTTTGCGTGCCGTTCTCAGGGCGCTGCACGGAAAACTTCAAGTATTAGAGACACAAATACGGCAGAAAGATCAAGCGCTGATGCGTGCTTTGGAGGAAAATAAACGTCAGCAACAATCGTTCTCAATGAATCAGACGTGCTCTTCCTGCTTTGCACAAAATAATAGTCAGCCGATGATGACGGTACAGCATGCTTCGATGGGTACGATGCCCCAGGGGCCACCCACTCCTCCAGTATCGATGACGCCGCGGCTCAGCAATTTTCAGGTCCGCAAGCCCTCCGACGAGGGCTCGCTGAAGGGGTTTGAATATCACCGTAATAGCCACCCGACCTCCTTGACTTCGGGGTGGGAAGCCCGAGCGCCTGGTGGGGAATCGCAACCCTCCGAGGAGCTCCGACCACTTGGCTGGGCGGAGTCCTCCCATTGTCTAAAGCGACATCGTGGTGGGGTTCAATCCACGCTTGGCGCCTCACCGGCCAACGCGGTCTGCCAAAAAAACACCCCCTCTGAGCGCTACCCTATGTCCTCATCGCCCCACGCATTACTGACGCCAAACTCGTGCTCCAACGCACTCAGCTTCCAAAAGGCTCCCCCATTTCGCCTTTCCACGCCATTCGCAAACCCAGCCGCCTTTGGGGATACACGAGGCCAGCATGTCCCTCCCCATCATGGCGTCAGCGGCAATGGGGCACCTAAGTTGCTGCAGGGGCTGCTATCTGGCACACCGTAACAATGGAGGCGATTGTTTCGTTGCCTATTAACAAAGATATATGTTTATATCTTCGGCAGTGTGGCTATTCCTTTTTTTGTTTCTTTCCTTCTCTGAATTGTTATCTGCTTTCATTTCCTCCCTCATCGGTCTGGTCCACTGCTATTTAAGACCACGATTTTATTCCTTTCTCCCCAAAATTCAGGTTGGGGATATGATTCGATGTTGAAATGCATAGCATAAGATTCTATCTCTAAACAGACAATATATGAAAAATCACTCCTATCTCTTCTATTCTGGGTTCCTTTATTCTGCATCTTTTATGCTATTGGTTGGTGAATTGATTGATAAAGCTGAATTTTTGAAAGCGTATTTATTCCTCCTCCTTTCAAAAAAAAGAACAGGAGGGTAATTTACGAAATAGAATCAAAGAAAAGGAAGGAGCTTCTCCACAGTGACCCCAAATGTCGAGCACAAATACTGCTAAACGGTACAAAGTTGTGCTCTTGGGTGAAAGTGGGGTGGGCAAATCGTCGCTCGCACAACGCCTTGTGAAGCGCGAGTGGAGCGAAACTCTCAACAGCACGGTGGGAGCTTCGTTTTTCCGGTACCCATGTCGCGTTGGGGACGTTGATGTTTGCTTTGAAATCTGGGATACAGCAGGGCAGGAGCGCTATAAGAGCCTAGCCTCGATGTACTACCGTGGGGCTGCCGCAGCGCTCATTGTCTATGATATCACCTCATACGACACTTATGAGTGTGCCCTTAATTGGGTACGAGAGCTGTCGACAAACTCTCCCGAGACCATCATAACGTTGGTGGGTAATAAAAATGACTTGGAGAGCAGTCGGCGTGTGAGCACCGAGGAGTGCCGACGGTACGCAACGGAGGTGGGAGTCTTCTTTACTGAGGCCAGCGCCAAAAATGGGAACGGTGTGCAGGAGATGTTTGACGAAATCGCCAAAACTTTGGTAGAGACAAAAAACCCAAATAGCGTCCGTGAAGGTCGTGTGATTGTTCCAGAACAAAGACCAGCTCCCCAGTCCAGATGCTGTGGTTAGGCTACTGAGTATTCTAAATCCTCTAGTGATACACACAGTGCTTTCTATCTTCCCTATTGGGAAAGACAACTGTTTTTGCTTGGTAGTTGAGAAGGACATATATCGGTGGGTTTCTTGTTCTTTTATATAATTCATTTGGTACATTATCAATGCGATGCGTATACAGGTGAAAGGAATTTGTCTCAGAATGAAGGCATTTGAAAAGCCAGAAATCAAGAGTAGAATTGATAAAGACATAGCAAACATGCCTTCAATTTTGGGGAAATCATTTATACTCAAGAGCCTGTTTTTGCCATCTTGATCACGCAGCCTTTTCCTGTATATTATATAAATGCAAGTGTGTGGAACTTGGCATGCGTATCATTTTTATATAAATGAATAAAAAACAACATATTTGTGTCGTATTCATGCTCAACTCTTTTATTGTCATTGCATATTTGTATAATTTACTCTTAATTAAGGCATAATATGCTAGAAAATGTGAAGATGCTTTTCTCGCGTGTGATATCAGTGGCTCATTTTTCTTGTATCAGCTTATTTCTTTGTACCTATAAGAATCGTCACAATCATTGTCACTAGAGTGAATGAATATTTTTTCTTTGATTTTAACATACTACACGTTCTCTTCACTTGTTTATAAACAAGACCATTGTGCAACTTTTTTGCGACCTCATGCTAGCGAAAAAGACTACTTGATCACATTTCAAACTGTATCATACAAAGCGAGTTTGCCCCTTATACCGTTGGCTACGGAGGTGAAAGTGTTTAGAAGCATGGAGCCTTCCCAGAGTAGCTCTTCCGAGCTACTATCACAGTCTTCGTCGAGGGAGTTGGTGCGCCCCACGGACGACTCGGAGTTGTCGTTGCTGTCGCACTGGACGAGCGTAGTCTTCAATTGGACGTATTCTCTAGTGAGAGAGGACCCTTTGGTGAACCACGCACTACAGCTGTCCCCACCTGAGGGCTGTTCGGACTGTCATCTGACGAAAAAATTGTGTACCTGCACGCAGTGCGGAGTATGCCGTGGCACGGTCCGACGCGGTACGCGACACCACTGCCGTCGCTGCTGGCGTCCCGTCTGTCATCGGTGCTGGCCCAGGCCCCGCCACATCCGAGTCCTGGAGAAGCCCGTGCCGGTGTGTGACACCTGCGCCGTTCCCTGGGCCCTCGCCAGCCTGACAAAGCGAAAGGCCGACCGGCTTTTCTGGGGCCTGTATATCCTGTCCCGAGCGGCTGAGATGCCATGCCTTTGTGTGGACCCGAGCTGCTGTGTCCTGACGTATCTGGCAACATGCTACGCGTGCGGTGGTCCAACCGTGATGACTCAACCTCATCTTACGCGTGTAATAGCATCCGGCGTGCCGCAGTTGATGTCGATTGATCGGGTGTTGCTTTTGGACATTCACATGTCCACCCTTCGCTCCCGAACAGTTGACGCATACCCACCTGAGGAGGTGGAGCGCTGCTTTCGTACCTATTTCAGAAACTTTGAGGATGCAACCAGTTTTGAAGGGGTCACGTCCACACAGCAGGCACAGGATATACTGCTGGGTCTAGTGTGCACTGACATTTCGTATGAGTACAAGAGAGCACCCAATATTAGCTTAACCCTGTCCGACATTCCGTACGCGCGCTTGCTGAAGATAAATTTATCCCAACCCCGTTACACCATCATGGAGGCTCCTGGTAAAGTTAAGTTTATCTCCTTCCCAGGTACACACGACTGGCGCACCTTCTGGATAAACTTCAATTCTTCGCAAACTTCAAAGGCGTTGTGGCTTCCGTTGGTAGAAGGTATTGCTGTACCTGCCGTCGGGGTCGACAATGACAGAAATGATCATCGTCCACCAGTTTTCGTGTGCGGGTCCATGTGTAAAGTATGGGAGTATAAGGTTCACAGTGGGTTTGCGCAAGAAGCGAAGGAGGTGGGCTTTTCTCTCGACCCCCTCGCGAAGGATCTCCAGAATGGCTATCGACTGGTACTTACGGGGCACTCGCTGGGCGGCGCCGTAGCGCAGCTTCTCACTCTCCAGCTTCTTGATCAATATCTGGAGATGGGTGCGGTGGAGCCGCCGCGCATTCTGTGCGTCACCGTTGGAGCCCCACTGATCGGTGATTATCAACTCGCCATGCGGGTGGAGCGCAATGGTTGGGCGCACTACTTCCATAACATCGTCTACCGTTCTGATATCGTCCCACGGCTGACCTGTGGAAACGAGCTCACGTGGAAGATGGCGACGCAGGTTCTAGGGCGTGCGTCTCAGATTTGTCAAGGCCTGCGGAACTGGTTTTCCTGGAGACGAAACGATGCCCAGGTGCCCGCAGGCACATCACACGGCGTTGCTCCCGGTTCTAACAACAGCAGTGAGGCGCTTGATCCCGTTGCCAGCCCCAATACACTACGAGCTGACTCTGTGGGTAGGGAGTCTGCGGTAAGTGTTGATGAAGGACAGGTTGCTGCTAGTAATGACCTCCGTTTAGTTGAGTATGTGGATAAAACGATCCGGATAGGGCGAGATGTTCTGGCAGAGGATGAAGAGCCACCGCGTTCGTCGATGAACATGGCTTCGAGCGTAGGCGCTTCGTCTGCTGTGGCGCCTGGGATCGTTGGGGAGGACCACCGTGTGCATCGTCGCTATGCTTGCTTTGGTCGGTATCACTTCTTCGAGTACCGCGCCGAGGGCTACTTCTCGACGATCGACTCTGAGACCTCCTTTGGGCTGCTCAAGAGTGGCTGCGACGCCGAGACAGTGGCTCTGCAGGATCACACTATGGCCTCTTATAACCGATGTATAATGCTGCGTCTTTGTGGGAAAAGAAAGGATATGCAAAAGCAACTTCCGATCGAGACATATGACACTTAAATGAGTTCCGGCTTACAGATAGCAAATTCATCATTCAGCTCAGTGGTGTACGATTCCAACCTTGCGTAGGGGATATATTGAATATGTACTTGGCTCACGCTGAGAAAGGATCGAAGCGCCTTCTTAGTGAGTCAGGGCTGCTGCTCGCCGCTGAAAGTGATCGACGAGGTTCAGACGTATTACCTAGAATCACGGGATCTTCTGTGTCCATCAGCAATGCTAGAAACATTAGTGGCTACGGCGGAGATCGAGCAACATAGGAGTGCTTGTTCTGCGTTATATCAAGGAGGAGGACGCTTGAGGAGTGTATAATAATGTTGACAACTTTTAGTGTAAAGGGGGAGAGAAGGGGACCAGTGTGCTACTTGTCGCCGGTTTATCATGGATAATCTATGAAGACAAAGCTGCATATATAAATATTTCTGAAACTGCATCTGAGGAAAAAACAGCCAGCAGATGTTGTACCCCTCCCTTCCCCCCCTCCAATTATGTTACTGTAATTGTCGAAGATGCGCTTCTTACGCTAATGTCTTATTCTAGTTGTTTTCCCCTTTCAGCACCCTGTCGGGTTGTTTCCAGAATTACTCCGGTCGTTTGCATATCACTAGTGTCAACCATCTCGTACATGGGAGTTGTAATAAAAAGCTTCAATGCAGATTGGTCAGCCATGTCGCTTAGATAACTCACACTACTCTATGGTATACGACTCTGCGAGCAGCCTTCCGCCTAGAGCGATTGGATTCATTATTGCACAGCGACCCCATCTAGATAACCTGTCGCGTATACTGTATTACTTCCGGACGACGCATATTGAATTCCCAGACACAGCAAATGGTTCTGTGAAAAGAAGAAGTCGGATTGGGGGCCAGGTGAACTCGCATAATGCGAAGGAAGACAGTCGCTTCAACCGCCTCCATGCTTCCTCGCAGGCTTTTGTTTCCTCAGAGGGTTACTTTTACCGCTTTGACGGTTGGTACGATGCGGTATTCCTTTATCCTATTGACGGCAAAGGTGTGCTGGAGAATATTCCAAACGACTGGTTATCCTCGGTTGAGAGAAACACAGCACCCTGTGAGATGCAGTACTTGTGCTACTCATTTCACCCATGGTTTTCGAGTCCTTTTCACGCGCTCCAATACCTGGCGCTTCCTGAAAGCGGTGTCTGCTACTCCGTGAGCATCTGCCATCGGTGTCTGAGCCCTTTTTTCTCGGAAAAACACCTGACGATACACATGGAAGGCTACTGTGAGCGCTTGGATCCGCCAGGGACGTTGATTTATCACGATCCAACTAGTGGTAGGCGGGTGTGGTATGTCGACGGCGCGCAGCACCTACACTACGCTCGCTGCATTTCCTTGCTCGGGAACTGCTTCATTGAGAGCAAGCTGCTCCGTAATGATGTTGACATGTATGAATTCTTCATCATCACGCTACCTCGAACGGCGCTGCCGTATGTCCCTGGTAGCCATTTCGAAAACGAGACGCAGTTCAAACGAAGTGCCGTGAGCTTCGATAAGGCGAAGTGGTCGGGGCATGTTGTGGCTGGCTATTTTAGCCGTCTCAAGCACAAGCCCCATCACACGCTCTCGTGTATTGTGACGTTGCCGATGTTTCAGCGGATGCGACTTGGCAGCTTCATGCTGGATGTTGCTTACGCTCTGATGGTGGAACGAGGGCAGCAGTGCGGCTGCTCACAGTGGTGCGGGTGCTTAAAACAAGACGGAGGGTGCATTAGCAGGCCTTTTTCCCCGCACGGGGAATCCCTGTTGTTGTCATACTGGAGGCGCTCCCTGGAGCGCCTTTCGCGGAATCGCAAACATGAGGCTAACCCGAACGTGTTTTCTACCCTGGAGGAGCTGCGGAGTGCCATGGATATTCCCATCGCAGCAAAAGACCTACTCTTTTTGTTGACTCACGACAACATTGCTTTCTACTCCTCAAGTGAAAAACACTGGGATACGCGAAGCCCTTGTGAGTTCAACGAAGTCGTGAATAAGAGGACCTACAATGTTTCTCTTGTATTTGACAAGCATCAGATAGAGACAATTTTTGAAAAGCCTGACCAAGGCTACGAGTTAGGGGACTTTCAAAGGAAGTGGTTCAGGCGGAACACTGACCAGTCTCTAGTGTATAATAAAACATTATTCCATTACTAAAGTATTGGATTGAATTAACAGAAATGGAAAAAAAAAGATGCCCTTAGCTACCGTGCGATACCTAGGCGTTTGTCCTTATATTTTGTAATAGCACTGTGTTTGTGTGTGTGTATACGTGTGTGTGTGTATACGTGTTTGTTCCCCTTCAACACTTGTGCATTTTACGCCATTCGTCTTTGTGCGAGCCTTTTAGTAAGGAGAGGGCTTTATTTTTTCCCTCTATATAAGTAATTTTCGAGTTTTACATCAATATATCCCTCCAGATCAAGCTAAACAAAAAGAAAATACATAATATACATATTTGAAACCTCATAGCGATGGAAGATTCCCCATGTTACGTCTACCTTGAGGCATGCAGGCAGCAAGGTGTCAAACTTCCTAACCCAGAACTTGTGCACTTTTTACAGGCCCACGACTCCTTCAGTAGCATCGAGGAGATTGATGTCAGTAACAACTACCTGGGCAACCGTGGGATCTTGGCTCTTCTCGACGTCGTAAAGGTCCTCCCCAAAATACGTTTTCTCAATTTGTCGGACCAAAAGCTATACAACACAGATCTCAATCAGAGTAGTGTGAAGGGCAACGCCACGATAGACGCGATTATCGATGTTTGCAAGACGCACCCGACGTTGACGTCTATCAACCTCAGTAGTAACCCCATCGGCAACTACGCGGGTCGCAAGCTCCTCGCGCTCGCGCAGGTGAACAAAAACGTATCCCGTATTGAGATCACCAACACGCAGATCGATTTTGAGCTACGACAGCGCATTAAGGCGCAGTGTGATGAGAACACCATGACCTTGTGGTTTTCTCATACGAAGCAACACGACGGACGCGAGGAGGTGGGGTTTGGTGAGGGTCCGAAGTGGGTTCCCGATTCTGCGCCCGCTGATCTTACCGCGCTCGGAGCGGGCCGAGGGCGGCGACAGACCGTCCGCGTGGAAGGGATAGATCCGGAAAAGGCAAAGCACTATAGACCGCCGGTGTATGAAAAATCCGAGGAGGACATGGAGCTGATCTGCAACCTGCTCACGCACAACGTGCTTTTCAGTTTCCTCACCACGAAAGAGATTCGGTCGGTGGCGGGGGCGATGTACCCGGTTGAGTTTAAGCGTGATGAATGCATTATTCAGTTCGGGCAGAAGGATTGCAATAAGCTCTACGTCATCCAGTCCGGCCAGGCGGATATCATCAAAGAAGGGCAGAAGGTTTTTCTCAAAAAGGAGGGCACCGCAGTTGGGGAGCTAGAGTTGCTCTACGATACCCCCGCGGTAGCGACGGTAAAGGTTTGCACTGATAACTTGGTAGCGTGGGTGCTCGATCGCGAGACGTATCGAAATATGGTGATGGGGAGCTGCATTCGCAGGCGTGAGCTGTACGTCGCGATGATCACGAACATTCCGTTCCTAGAAAGCCTTGACCATTACGAGCGGATGCAGGTTGCGGATGCCCTCAGCAGCAACGAATACAACCCTGGCGATTACATCATTAAACACGGTGAGACGGGCGAATGGCTGCACATCATAATTGACGGAACTGTGGAGGTGATTGGGCGGGATCCGGAGGGCAACAAGACAAAGGTTTGCGAATTTTCCAAAGGAGACCACGTTGGCGAGCTTGAATTTATTAATAATCACCGCAACGTCGCGGATGTGATTGCCGTGACACATGTAACGACCGCTAAGCTCAACCGTCGCCATTTTGAGATGTGCATGGGGCCGGTTTTAGACGTGCTAAAGCGCGATAGCACAAGCAGCAAGTACCAATACTACCAAAACATCCTCCAAACTCAGCGACAGGAGGAAATTTAGTGTCCAATTGGTGGAAATGGTGTAAGAAAGGGGAGGGGGGGGATATGAAAAAAATTGTGTAAGAAATAATCAAAGGCAATGTCCACGTCTGAAAACGTATGTGAATAATTGCAACGAGCACAACTTTGGGTGATATTTTCTTTTTTTCTTTATTACTCTGGTGGAAGGTAATCTTTGTAGGAAAAAAACAAAAACGTCGAAGAGTCACACCAATATGTAAATGTATACTTCTCGGTAGGATTGCTGTTGTTGTCCTGGTCTTTTGGATTCTTTTTGCGTGTAAGTCCTATTTTCCTGTATACATTTTCCTTTTTCGTTGAATTGTCATCATCTTGTTGTTATTCTTGAATTCCCTTAGAATTTTCAAAAATATTAAGCATGGCTTTTTGAATTGTTCACGTTGGTATTGTCGTGTATGGAACACGAAGAAAAAATGCATCAAAGTTACATAAATATAGTTCAGATGATTTTACTTTTTAATAACTTCAGATTTGCCTATTTATTTCTAAACACCCTTTCATAAAAAAATGTGACTTAGCCCTTTTAGATGTACATGTATATATACAACTATATATATATACCATATGACGAGAATGTTAGTGTTGATTCTCTCGAGTACAATCCAGAGAATAATGAAAGATATGGTTTCCTCTTGTTATATTTGAGGAAGAAACGCAACACAGGAGTGAAATGCCATAAAATGATGTTCATTGTCTCCGTCTTGTCTTCTGTTATGAATGTGTCGAACTTCCTTTCTCTTATATTAAAATGACTCATGAAAAGGTTGATCCTATAATAATAACTATTTGTTTTGGTATGATTAAGTTTCTCCTTCATGCTCCCCTTCTGTGTACAAAGTGGGAGAGAACTTTTGACGCCCGCGGCGATCAAGATCTATAGGCAGTATGGCTTCATCATAGCAAACCAATTTCTTGACGAGAAGACGACGCGTGAGCTCTCGGCGGCGGTTCGAGCTGCGGTGCTGGCGCGCGGCCTCAGCCCCTTCCCCGGGATCGACCCCGAAAACAACTGGATGGTGCGTTTAGATGAGAATATGCAGCCTCGGATCGGCACGACGAATTCAACGGACAGCGGCCCGACTTTCGGAACAAAGGCGTCCGAGGCATCTCCCACCCCATCGCCGTGCTCCACGAAGCGAACGAATCGCGCGCGAACGCGGGTGGATCGCGCGTTTCGGCGAATTTGTCGATCCCATCATCTCTCCCCGGTGGCCTGCCTACGCGCCCTTCGCGGCCGCGAGATCGACCCCGTCGAGGACGCGCTCGATTACATCCTCAACTCCGCCAAGTGTTGGTGCTTTCTCTGGGATGGCCACCCCGCCCTGGGGGGTCTTTTATGCCATGCGCCGAATCCCCCCCCCCCTCCCGCGATGGGCGCGAACCCGAGGCGGGGCGTCCCCCCCAGCCCACCGGGCTTGGCCAGCGGATCGGCGAGGCGGCCGCCGCGTTGAGTGGGGAGGTGATCCTACGGCTCTACGCCGACGCCGCGTACGAGGGGGTCCCCTTCACGAACGCCAGCCCGTTTAGCTTCGCCGCCGCTGCGGCGCCTTTTCGCGCGCCCCACGCCCTCGCCGTGCGCCTCGGGCTCGAGGAGGACCCCGCGGCGTCGTTGGGGGCCCCGTCCATGGGGCTGCGGATCGCGGCCTTTCCGGGATCCCACCGCGCGCTGCTTTCGCTGACGGAAGGAGGGGGGCGGTTGGACCGCTTCCGGGCGGCCGCCGCGGGC